AATCAATGCGCGCTACCTTAGCAGCTCCAGTGCTACTGGGAATGATGTTGAATGAAGCAGCTCTTCCACCTCTCCAGTCCTTCATTGAAGGACCATCGACAGTCTTTTGTGTTGCTAAAAATGTGTGCCGATATTTAGAATTAAATTAATTAAATAAAAACCAAACGGAAAAATTCAAGTTTTGCAGCTAGCTACACTTACCAGTTAAAGAATGTACAGTTGTCATCAGCCCCTCAACGATACCAAACCTATCATTAAGAACCTGCCAAAAAAAAAAAAAGATTCAATTTAGTGAATGCAAACTCATTGATGACTAACTGGATTAGTTACGAACTAACCTTAGCCAGTGGGGCTAAGCAATTTGTCGTGCAACTAGCATTAGAAACAATATTGATGTCCGGCTTATATTCCTTCTCGTTCACCCCAACAACAAACATTGGTGCATCTTTACTGGGTGCAGAAATCACAACTTTCTTCGCACCTCCCTGAAGTTCAGACAACTCAGCGAAAAACGATATGAAAAAACAAAAAATGAAATAAAAATAAAAATATTTGATAAAACCTTCATGTGAGCAGCAGCTTTGTCCTGGTCAGTGAAAACCCCGGTTGACTCAACAACAAACTCAGCACCGAACTCACCCCATGGAATCTCCTCTGGATTCCTGTGCACCATTATGAGGACATATTAATGGCATCAACGTATAATTTTCCTCGTAAGGAATTTTATTTATATATTAGTATACCTGGCGCCAATGACAGTAACTGATTTGTCACCAAAGAGCAGGGTCTTCGAATCCTTAACCTTAAGCTCGTGTTTTTTCCATTGACCATGAACGCTATCGTACTTGAACATATATGTCTGGAGAGGAAAGTGGAAAGAAATTCAAAACTTCTTAGTTTTGCATCGACACAAACAATCAACTTAAAACAAAGTGGTAACTCAATACAAGATTTTCCTTTACAAAAATAACTATATCCGTTTTAAGGGATTATGAGAGGACAAAGGAAAATACCATGTAGTCGGTAGTAATGAATGGATCATTGACAGCAACAAGCTCCACGTCATCGCTCTGAAGGGCGACTCGGGCCACCAAACGGCCAATCCTTCCAAATCCTGAACATAATAACTAAATAAACAAAACTGAAAATGTGGAAATAGTATAGTAAATTAGCAATGAAACACTTACCGTTGATTCCGATCTTAATTTTGGCCATGGAAGGTGAAGAGAGCAGAAACGGACTGTAGTTGATGAGTATTGAGTAGTAAGAAAATGAAACAGACGCTAGCAATATATTTACTGCGAGTAATTTGTATTGCAACTTAGTGCACTCCTATTTATATACACTAGTTAAAAAAAAAAAAAAATAAAAAATAAAAATGGGAATTGGTCTACAATGTGTGTGGCTCAGAATACAATGGAACAGAGACTGACCTTATGTATAGGATCAACAGTTGACAGTTTTCCTGGGCACNAAATTGGATCATCAATAAAAAATTTCAAAGGCAAAAATCATTTGTAAAACTATGCCAACAACCACGAATTAAGCTGCAAAAGATCCGCACTCTCTAACACTAGTAGAACTAGTTCACAACCCAATGAGATTGCAACTTAACTAAGAGACATGCCCTGAAAACCGAAACAAATACAATGAAATTACAAAAATGGAGTTATTCAATGAATTACAGACAAAAATCTTAAATTAGAATGCTCCAAACAGACCATTTACCGTTGGAAATGTAAAAGAAATTTAACGAAGATCTTTCATGGCATCAAACTTGTTTCAGCAGAACATTAGCATATGTTCTAACACTCGATACACCTCAGTTGCAACAACATCTTACCTATAATTGCTTTTAATGCATGACCACTCACCCGGCATTTACTGTCAACAAAGCAAGACCTTCCTTCTTCGGCTGCCACACACAGCCGGCCATCTATTCCGGTTGTCTGGAGGAATTGCACAATCAAAATATACTCGTCAGAAGTGCCAGGTGGCGCGTCAACCCCAACAAAATTGAGTTCTCCCCAGTACACTACACGTCCTTGAGGAATTGCCAGACAGAACCAGTATTAATTTTGTGCTTTACTGATGCCATTCTCTCAAAAATGGAGATCAGATCTGAAAATAATAATACGTGAGATGACATCAATGTCTACAGTAATAACCACCAAGCACTGTTCATAAAGCAAACATAAACATAGGACACCCAAATCATTAAAGATTTAATTTTACCTTCTAACACACTAAAGTAACTAACCAAATTGAACATTCACCCAGTATCATGGTCCTTATGAGTTATGATTGATTAAACATATACTTTTTGGGTTCAGCTGATATTCATATTTCAGTTTCATCCCCAGTTCCTCGCTAGTCTCAAAAGCATGCTGCATTATTCCATTGAGGATCGGGTCCGACATGCTCAAGTAGAACAACTAAATTCACAATAACTTCACATGACAACTATACAATGTGGTAGAGAGCACAAAATGATGGGTATGTAGGCATATCAGACGAAGATCTCTATGCTAAGTCTAAAAAGACCTCCCAGTAATAATTACACGCACTCAATATGAGCAGCATCAGTGATTTTAAAAAGCCACTGAACTCAAAATCAAATGCAACATCCTTATTTGAACAAAAATTTCCAGAACAATTGCTAAAAAAATATTTTGATGCTTTTGACAATGTATGGATATCAACTATATANAAGCACTCCCTCAAATCTGCGGTTAGTTTAAAGAGCTTATATTATAATCTTTAGGAGCTGTAATACACCTGGAGTCTGGTTTTTTTCATGTTAAATGCAGCTTATGCAAAAATCTCTAATTGAGCAGGCAAGAAAGGTGAAGCTAGAGGCCACAAATGTCTGATTCAACTTCATCAAACCTATCTAGTTAAGCTGGAGCCAAATTTAGAAAGACCCATATCGAAAGCCATAAACTTTGTTGGCCATAAAACCCTCCAAGAACTTATATCTCGTACTGCTCAACTCAATTAAGCTGAAACTTCCTGATTAGGGTATCATTCACAAGCATCAGATTTTCCAGCCTATTCAGTTTGGGGTCCTGGGCAATCTTAAACAAAAGAAACAAGCACACACACATACGAAACAGGAATATAGAAAATTGAGCTCAGAACTGTAAAAGAACTATAGTATTCAGATATGTAAGCAATAAAGACAATTACACATACGTTCATTGGCGTCGTCGGATACTTCTTCATAGGCTTCGTTTCCCATTTTTCTTGCTCTGTTAGCACGTCAAACGGCAAATTCGCCGACTAAATTTACAGCACGAAAATGCATTGTAGTTTGTACAGCGATTAAAATAAAAATCACTTCGTTTTTTTTTTTTCCGGCAAAACGCTCGACAGATTAGAAAGTCGCAAATTACAAACGATGCAAAGTCGGTTTTGTGGGTTCGCTGATGATATGCTTCAGATTAACACGACCTTATAGCCCACATTAGAGTTAGGCCCACAGAAGTCTCCTGCTTGAATGATGGACGATGGTACGCTCGAGCTTTCACTTGCAGGTCACCACCGACAATTTTCCGTCAATAATTGCTTGTTTTTCTACGATGTGGGTCTGAACATGAATCCCAATGTTCATGGTTTGTTGAGTTTGAAATTTTATGCAGAGTGTTAGTAATTATGTTTGTATTATCATTTTTCATTAAGTTTATTTTTTCCTTTTCAGTCAAAGGTCATTTGCCCAATTTTGTTATTTGGGAAGGTTATTTGAAACAATTCCCACGAGTTTTCATTTGATTTTATTTAAGCTGCATTCTTGTGATATGTTGTGTTGAAGTCCATCGACGGACAGAGTATTAGCTCTCTCTCTCTCTCTCTTTCATTTGCTATTAGCAGTTACATTGTAATGGTAAATATATGTAATTTGTTGTCTACCATTGGATTTGATTGATTCAAATGGATCTTTTTGGCTGCTGCAAACACTAAAAAGATGTACTTGCCTCAAATTTGGATTTGGTACATGACATGAAAAAGATGGGATCTTTTTTCCATTTTCTAGCAAGAGAAAGTTGTGTGTGTACACAAATGGGATATAGTCGAATGCATCGATCAAGGTCTTCAGAGCAAACTCAGACAGATTTGTTTTGAAATTTTCCCTTTTGCATATAAATTATTCTCAGGCCACTCTAACGTAGCACAACAAACGCCATTCATTACACGATAACCCGGTTTCATCTGTAAACAAACAAAGTGCTCGAAAAGTGGTATCGGTATTGGTATAACTTTAAAGTGTTGGGGGAATCCATATATAGCCATGTGTCTGCACATAACCTGCTCTTTCCAATAGTTCATCTGCCTCAATAGGGCCCCTGCTGCCGGGTTTATAAGGAATTGGCTTTACTTCACCTTCATCTATTCGGTGCACAAGGGGCGTGAAAATTTCCCAGGCAGCCTAAACATTTAAAATAATAACAACTTCATTCAAATAAAAAATGCTTATCCTGGAAAATTTTAAGCTTATAATATAGGGATAAAGTTCTCTTTTTTACCTTCAGCTCGTCTCTGCGAACAAAATGCTGCTGATCCCCTTTAATACTATACACACGTGAAAAGCTTCGGTTATAAATTATAATCTAATAATCTTGAGGAAAAAGAAACATTTATGGAGATGTCATACGTGTCGAGAATTAGTCGTTCATAAGCCTCGGGTATAACAACCCCTTTGTAGCGTTGCATGTATGACAAATCGAGTTCGCTTTGAGCAGTTGACATTTTTAAGCCAGGCTGCTTAACCTGCATGATGAGTGGAAAAAAAATTACTAGACAAGGGAAAAAGTAAAAACACCTCGTAAAAAATGGCGCTAAACGAGTTTCACTCACGGTAAGCTTCATGTATATAGCCTCTGAAGGTTGCAAACGGATCACAAATTCATTCCTTCCTTGCTTTTGAACTAAAAAGAAAAGGAAAAAATTACAAACTTTTTTTTCAGCAGGCTAAACGGTATTCGCATAGTCTCTACATAATGGAAATAAGAGCTTTCGTGTACTTCTGAATATATCGCCAGGAACATCCTTGAACTGAACCCGTATTTCTGCTTTTCTCGAATTTAAAGCTTTTCCTGCCTTGAGTATAAAGGGAACACCTACAGTAATATAAAAAGTCGTTACAGAACACTTCAGATGAAAAAACAACATAGAAAGAACACATATCATATATATATTAAGAGAAATGCTATAGGTACATAATATTGTACATAGGCGTCTACATTGAGTGGGACCCACCAAAAATAAAAAATCAAGTGGACCCCACTCCATGTGAGTGTTATGTACATCTCTATGTACATTTATTATGTACTTGTAGCATTTTTCATTAAAAGAATGGTATAGCTAAAACTGAAATGCATTATTTACCTTCCCATCTTTCATTGTGTAAATGTAGAATTACTGTTGCAAAAGTAGGAGTATTTGAGTTGTTCGGAACTGTTGGATCATCTTTATAGCCTTGATATTGTCCGAGCACCACTTCTTCGTCTTTTATAGGTACAACTGATTGAAGAACCTTAATTCCAAACAAACCATATTCACAAATGGAACAATTATATCCCAACATATAAAGAAAAAAAAAATGTGTGTTATGCAGGGCTAATGAAATCAAGAAAGGTTACATTAATGTAACAAAAAAACATCCGACAAAAATAACTTATAATAAGAATGTACCTTGACTTTTTCATCTCGAATATGCTCAGGCTTAAGAGAAACAGGCTTCTCCATGGCCACAAGGCAAAGGACCTGCAAATTTTTTCGCCATTAATATCAAAGGTTTTTGTTCGTTCCACTTTTGTCATGTTTTCTTTGTTTATTCCATGCTTGTTTTTCCCCTACTTAGGTATTTTTCTTTGGTTTTTGGTCCGTTTCGAGTCGTCTCGTACTTATCCTTTGTTTTAGTCGTTTTTTGGTCTTTTTGTTCGTTTTCCCCGGTTTTCCGTATTTCTTGTCGGTGGTGATGTGCAGGTTTGGTGGATCGGTGTATGACTACGCGAAGTCTACTGTCTAGTTGGATGAGTTGGGGTCGTGTTGGAGAAGACGGGATCAAATTCCGAGTCCGGACGAGAGAAGACGAACCCGAAAACCAAAGTTCAGAAATTCTTCGCCGCGGCCGCGGAGAAGAGGAGGTCGCGGCCGCGAGGTGCACGTAAATTCCAATTTCTGGCTCGGGGAGGTCGCGGCCGCGGAGGAAGTCGCGGCCGCGAGATGTTGTTCGCCGCGGCCGCGGAGGTCTAAGTCGCGGCCGCGGAGGTCGCGACAGCAGATTTTTAAGTTTCGTTTTTTATCAGTTTTTCATTCACTTTTCACCTAGGTTTAGACTTTCTCTCATTATTATTCACTCCAAAACAGTTTTTCTCTTAGTTCTTCATAGGATTTGATCTAGGATTGTGAAAACACCAAGATTAAGCTGGTGGATTCAGTTATTCGTGTATTCAACATTGGATTATTCAATCGTAAGCTTTCGTTTCATCTTCTTATTGATTGAATGGCTTTGATTACTATATGTGTTGGAGTTGAATGCAATATGAGTAGCTAAGTCCTTTAGCTAGGGTTAAGGGAAGATCGTTCCGGTTTGATTTTATTTATATGCATGATAATTGCTCAATCCTCTCGAGTTGTGCTTAATTTAGGGTTTTGATGATTGATCACCATCTTGATCTATCTAATCGATTTTAAAACTGAAAAGGGAAAAATCGTTCGATCTAGGCTCGTTAGGAATAAGCTTGTTCGTAATAGTATAACTTATGTGTTGATTGCTTCAAGAATTGCTTATTTATGTCTATCCTCTTGTTACGAAGAGTTATTGAGGATAGACCTCTAGATGAGTAGTTTAGCGAAACGTTCAACCGAGCTCTTGATTGCTCGTTAAGTGTATTGAGAACCGGAATTGATCGACCCCGATACCCTAGCCCCTTCTTTATATATTAAATTTGTGATTCCTAGTTTGCTTGCCCTGTTCAATCACTTGCTTTTCAAATTGGTAGACGATAATCAAATCTCCAAACTTGATTTAGAATGTTTAGGATTTTCACTTCTTTTATTTTCCATTTCTGTGCTTGAATAATCGTACAAAATAATCCGGCTAACCTTCCTTGAGACACGACCCGGTGTTCGAATCTTTTGATTTAACTCCGGTAAAAAGAACTACAACAGTTTTTTGTCTGTATACATATTAGGCAGACTCATTTCATTTCAGGCTCACCTGCAATAGGTGGTTTTGGATAATATCACGGATAATCCTGCGAACCAAACNGAAAAAAGAAAAGAAAAAAAAAAGCATAGAATAATCTAAGCATTTTTCACAAGCCATGGAAAATATGTATCTCAAAATATTAGGCAAAAAAATACTGACCTGAACATTAGCAATGTTGTCGTGATTCCAAAGAGGTAAAAAGAAGCGATTTGCAAAACGGATTACCAACTGTGAATTTCAGGACAAGGAAATGAATGAATGTGTTTGACTTCATTTTATCAAATGATGATTATGTCCCAATTGAATGGATAAATAAGAATAAAAGATTTACCAAGTTCTGCACTAATTCCTTTCCCAAATAATGATCAATACGGTAAATCTGAGGCTCGTCGAATAATTCTCCAATCTGAGAGCTCAGCTCCTCTCCTGAAGCTAAATCCCTGCCAAAGGGCTTCTCAACAACTATACGAGTCCACCCGCCAAGATCAGCTGCAAAATAAATAAAAAATAAAAATAAAATGTAGAATTTGCAGCTTCATCCTTCCTTCTAGCACCATATATTAAAAACCAGTAAATTAACTATTCAATTAAGTACTCTTCACACCAATGTAGATACAAAATGGTAACACTATCATGAGTTAGCAAACGTGAAAGTAGTTTAAAAAAAAAAAAAACACGTACATCTGTTAATGCAACAATTCTTGATCATTTTGCAGACTTGAGGGTAAACAGACGGTGGAAGTGCAAGATAGAAAAGTCTTCGGGAAGATCCTTCTATACTGTTTTTTGATGTTTCGTGCTCGGATATTACCTTATCTAATACTTGAAAACCTTCAGGAGCATCGTACGAGCCACTCACGTATTTAATCTACATTTATCAAAGAATTTTTTGCTTTTGGTAAGCAAAAACATCATCTTGTTAAGACTATGCATGAGGAGGCATAAAAAAACATAGTCATCAGTGAGAACAAACCAGCTGAAGAAAGTCTGAAACGTTATCTTTGACTTCTTTATCCTGGGGAAGATACCTACAAGAAGCAATTATTACAGTTGATAAATTCAAAAAAAGCTCAACAAAGAAAGTAAATGACAAAACAAAATACTATGCACAAATAGTCAAACTCATACAAAAAGAGAATTAACAAAATCATACCCTCGAATTCGATCTCTTAGTTCATCATCAGATAGCTTTGTCCTCGAATAACCGAATATATGAACTTCATTCAACTGCAAAAACCCCTGAACATCCCCACAGAGGCCCAAAGCAACAGAAAGATATTAACTTTGCTTTTAGAAACTCCTCTTTTTTGTTTAGCTTTGACAAACAAAAACAAAAAATGTAATAAAATGCTAGTGTTTTCTAGGAATTCACAATCTTTTGCAACATAGACTAAAAAGGAACCAAGCAAGACAACATTTTTTTCTAAACAAGAACAATGAAAACAAAATGAAGACTGGGTTATTAGCTATTTAACCTGTCGAAAAAGGTTGAAAAGGGCGCGGAAGGTCTTTTTCTTAGCAAGATCACCGGAAGCACCGACCACGATAACAGAAAGGCACCCATTTTCCGGCACAATTTCACCGTCTCTTGCAAAAGACTCATTCTTAGGAAAGGGCCTTCTTTCACAGTGCCATTCAAATGAGCTACCCATACTAATTCCTTCCCAATTCGCAGGAGCTAATCAAACAGAATCTCGATAAAAACGCCTAATCTGCACGGTAAGTGAATGTTTTAAACAACAATGAATAGCTTCACAAGAGGCTAATGCAAGTGGCCTACCCAGATATTTGCAGGTTCACCTAACAAAAGCATATGCAGCTGTTCAAAATAATTTTTTTCTTGCTAAACTATTATCATTTTTTTTTTTTTTTCGGGACAATAGTTAGGTGACAGAAAATGAGACAGAGCAGAAGTGAGTTCAAATCTAGCGGGTATAGACAGGAGCATGTAAAGCATGACGTAATGCCTGACGTCGTTTTGGTATTATGAAGCAAAATAGACGGCTTTCTTGACGGAGTTGACCAAAAATGAGTTGCCAGTAGGAGACGTTGTTTGGGCTGCTGAAACAAAATTTCAAATTATTTGGGATTGGATATAAGGTTTTTCTATACAGTGAATTTTTTTTTTGGCCATTTTCAATTGTAAAACACAAATTTTAGCCATAGTTTGGCAAAAACATCTTTTTTAGCCATTTTGGCACTTAAAATGACAAATTTGACCTTACTATCTATTTTTTTAAAGAAAATAAAAAATTGTTAATCTAAATGACAAATGCACAAATTCATCATCAATTTTATCATCCGTGTATTCTTCTACATTCACTCCTACTTTGAACTTTCTCTCTCATTTCTAAAAAAAAAAACATTCTTAAAA